TGCTTCTATCTTGTTAAACGTTTGATAGTTACGCTCAGATGTGCTGTAAACGTTACCACATCATCTTTTCAACATTTCCCTTGAACTTTAAGTGCAAAATTTGTGTTCTGAAAGATCTAATTCCTAATTTTAAAAATCACATTTTGGTCACGTAACCAGCTACGAACTTACTTATTTGCGGGTTAGACAAACCAAATCACTATTATTTTGTTTAAGATATGACCCACTAATCGTTTTTCGAAGGCAAAATCATATAACTTTCATTTTCATAAAAACGATGTCACATGACCTCTTAGTGCAAATGGCCTATTTGACGGCATAAAGAACTATTGCGAAATGCCATTCTCTCTATGTAGCTCATTCACTCATTTGACCCTTGAGCGAGTCAAACGTAACTCTGTAAATCAGGTGGACTTGAAAGTTTGCCCATCAATGTATAGTTTCAGTCATAAGACTCAGCAATCTACATGATGGATTCCTCTACGACTTTCTCTAGCTCATTGTTTTCAACGTCGTCTTCGGCTCCAAACGGAGTGTTGGGTTGGAGTCGATTGTCATCAGCCCTGAATTCCTTTAGTCAGAGTCCTGGGTGCGAATCATCGAGCAACTAGTACCTCTTAATTAAGAAACATTTCCATTATCTTAATTTCCACCCCGATGAATGAAAAAAGTGAGTTGGTAATGACAGCATCATAAAAATAAGCTCATGTGGAAGAATTTTATCCCACTCAAACGATAGCCTGAGAAAAGATTTGGCGACACCACTACTGGTTTCCCCACGAGATGATGTCTGAGGAACGACTGCTGAAGTTCCATGCTGATGCGGGCTTCTGATTGGTGGTACCGGGAGGGTAATTTGCTTCAACCAATCAGAAGCACTTCCCGGATCGCTTAATTTCTGCAGTCCTTTTTCAGACGGCTTTTTGTGGGGTGAACCAGTGGTGGCGTCTTCATAGTTATAAATGTGGCACTTTTAATGAAATTTAAGCAAAGGATTAAAAAGCTTTAGGGGCATGTATTCTTCACGATCAAAAAGGATCGCCTGTGTCTTCGAGGAACAATTTAATTCACATCAGTACAAAACTAAAACAGAATCGATTAGATTCCTTCTTTACATCAGAGAGTTAATTTTACCGAAGCCGCTTTGTTGAGTTGTAGTCACTATTTGCAAGTTAAGTGGATACTTGTCCACTTGTGGTCTAGCCTTATCGAACCTGAATGTGGCCACCTGAGAACTACTGTTGGTACCCGTAGAGCAATGGGGTTAAGAAAACAATCGGTTCCTTTGATGATCATCTGTTTACAGATATCGATAACAGCGTGAAAGAGGCTCTTTTACGTAAAAAGCAGTTCAAACATGAATACAAACATTTCAAACAATTAAATTATAGTAAATATTAGCCTATAACAATAGCCCCGGTGTGGGGGGCGTGGGGGGGGGGTACTCCGGATTTCAAGTAACGGGGATGCTCAAATGGGGGCAACAATCAAAACCCAAAAGAATCCCTAGGGCAATCAAAACCTCCCCAAAAAATCCCTGGGGCTTCCAACAAAACCCCCCAAAAATCCATGGACCAAAAATTAACCCCCAAAAAATCCCATGCCGTACTTCCGAGCCTTAAAATTTTCCAGAAAACATTCAAATATGGTGTAAAACGTTGTAATTTATTTAGTTCTACTATATTCGCAGAACTACGCGGGCGGGATGAGCGGGCACTACCACAAATCTTCAAATTGTTTTGAATACCCCCAAAAAATCCCTACTTAAATCCAGCAACCGCTACCCAAAAAAATACGTGCCCTATTTTCCCTGCCAAAAAAATCCCAGAATCGAAAATTTCAAACCCAAAATATCCTTCAATCATCCCCGTCACTTGAAAACCGAAGTACCCGACCACCCCCGCCGCCCACTCCTCCCCTGGGAACAAAGGTCCTTTGCACTTTAGTCCCGGTTTAGTGTATTGAAGACTAACGATATCATGGAACAAGTCCTGAAGAGGCTGTTAAAATGCGAATGCACAACATGATACTTCATTCAGCTTTTGAAAATGTCCTTTCCATCCCCGGATGGCTTTAATAATTAACTTGTTGGCGACTCTTAATAACATCCCTAGCAAATTTCGCACCAAGTCTCTTTAACACTTGTACCACCATCGGCAGATTTATTTTTTCTTTTCTCGTGTAGTTGTTGATATTCTCATTGATATACTCGCCGTTTTGTCCCCAAAATAGTCAAGTCGAAGTGCACTTTTCCTTAACCTTTGAACAAACCCTCGTGATGTTACACCTTCCCCTTTATCGTACACTCCTCTCGATTTTTGACCCTTTCCCTCAAACAGAGGGAGCCGGCAATCAACGTTACCCTGACGTAGCCTGCGATTTTCACATATTTCTGTTACCAGTTCTTTGATTGCTAATTTTTAGAAATGTAAGACGGCTAGATTGATGCTTTAAATATAACGAACCAGATGCATTTTTAACGAAATTAATGACATTCCTCACCCCAGTTACTGGAAAATTTATGGAGGGGGACCCATCCGGTCTCTGACACTCTCGCACACTCTGAGTCAGATACCAAACAGAATTTGATACTAAACTTTCTCTGGAACAGGGTGGATTTTCCCAAGAACAATCACTGAGCACTTTGGAACAGAGTCACAAAAATTCACTTTTGGCTCAACACAGGCTCAAAGTCAGCTCAAAAAACAGTGGCATACTTGAAGGAAATTTTAAAAGAGTTTTTCACCCTAGGTATCGCAGGGTTCCAAGTTTTATTCCAGCCATAAACTTTTACATTCGTTTCTTACATCGTAAGAATAACTAGCAGAGCCCTGATAAGGTGGAATTTTGTTTATTAGGAAATATAGCTCTTCCTTAAGTATATAGTTATATACTGTGGATAATTCTCTTAATATCTCAGGTTTATGCATGGAAGGAATACCTATGTACCGTTGGTCTGTCTTATTGTCCATAATCGACTACTGATAAAATGCAGCGTTTAATTCATAGCTGAGAAACTGCCGATGGAAACGTTTTCATATGACTCATGAAATCGCAACATTTCAATTCGGTTGCACTATTGCTCAGCATTTAATTTGTCCTAGTTTCAAAGCGCTGCATAATCAGTTTTAACGATATGTACATCAGCAAATTGAAAGAAATTTTCTGAGCATGGTAAAATACAGTTCCCTCTACTTCTACTGAGTGTATTACGAGTGTGGGGGCAGAAAAGAATTATGTACTGATTTGACATTGGTAATTCAAGCGATAAAGAGGCGTGTACCAAGCTCTTTCCAGCCTCTCTCTAGAGCACATGTAAAAGGGAGTCAGCAAATTCCTGTTGAGACTTCGCTGACATATTTGCATGCCCTTTAATGTCTCTCAAACGTAGAAAAAATAAAGATCAATGAAATGTAAAAATCAAATGTAAAATGTCTGATAATTGCAAAAAAATAATTTTGTGAATTGATTTTAGTGATAGAATGGGAATTTGGGTCGGTATACTGGAGGTCTTGAAAATCCACCCGCTTGAACCAAAAGCCTTTCCAACATGCAGCTATTGCGTTGCGATTCAGTTAGCGGGCCATTTATGTTTTCGCGTTTTGCTTTCTTTTTCAAGAAGTTACCCAAGCATTTACTGCTATCATATAAACAATTACAAGTCTCCTTTTTTCACGTTCAATGTGTTTGTTTAACTTTTTTCAAAAACAAGGAACGAAATAGATAAGTAGCGTTATATTTCATAGAAAAGTATTCATGGCGTAGGACAAAGTTCGCTGTTTAATTACAATAAAAGTAATGTATGTCAAAACGGTGTCATTTCGCTGGACCCGAAGAGCAGTTGGTGTCAACAGTGTTTGTATTTCTTGTCGCCGCTGTTCACAAACCTGCTTGGTTTTATCAAAACGGCAACCATGGAAGTACTGAACCGTGGTAACGGTCTGTTTCCAAGAGTGCCCGTGTCTTGAAAGTTCTTGTTCTTTTATAATTAACAACGAGGACTTTTGCTCTTCCGTACTCGACACTAGAAATTACCTGATATTTTGTCTCATGAAATGGTACATCTCTGGCGGATCTGATGCCACAGTGTTTGAGGAGAGTGGTCTAAACACTGACTTCAACTGAATTGAAAACTCGACACCATTGAAAGGTGCGTGAAAGCGAAATGACAAGTACTGGCCATGAAAGGCGCTAGGAATGTCACTAATGGTTTGTAATACTAAATGTCTCTCAGGCCACAAGTTTTTGATTTATCGGAACTTCTTTTAGACCCTGTCGAGTTCCAGATTTAAGAAATATCACCAAGTACTAGTTTTTTGTTGAACTAGTGATTTCATCCATGAAGACGGTACGAATGAGTAGAAACAATTTAAAAAATTTCGACCACTACCCCGTCATTACTAGAATATTATTTATTTTGCTGTCAGATCTGATCACAATATTTGTTCTTGGTGATGAGTACTTTCCTTACCGAGCAGCATTTGGCTCAGGATAAAGCAAATCGAGAAAGTTCGTTACATGGCTTCTTTCAAATAACTTTCACGAGTGTTCCTGTCATCCGCATTCTGCTCCTATCCATTAATTTCTGAACCATCGGCAATTGGGTCGAAACCATAAAGACTGGTCTGTAGAATCAGGCTCAGTTTATGTTTTACAATAGGGGGACCTAAGTTTTAGCCCAAAAGCAGAAAATCTAACGAAATGACAACACCGGCCGACTAGTAACACTGATCCCAGCAATTTGGAGTTTGCTTGAATATTATAAATCAAACATCCACTCAGTGTGGTTCACAATGAAAGGCTTTGTGTATTCCAGTTAGAAATTTGTAGTAAATTGGCTTTACATAGGTAGATGAGCCCTTGAAAACTACCCTCAAAGGTCGACCAAGCATCATAACTTGGACTCAGTGCATGCAAATACCTGCGTGGAACAAAATTGAATTCGAGGGACAAAGACCAATCTATAGTTTACTTCTTACTAGCCATGACGCGTCTTCCTGGTGGATATGAGAATTTATTTCATGGTCTTCACTCTACTGGTGTACAACAAATTCCACTTCTTTGAGGGTAAGATGAACCAAAACAGGCTGTAATAACCAATTACTACTTATGGCCTGTGATTATTGATTATTACTGTAAAATTAAGAAATAAGATAGTGCTGAATTAACAATTTCACTCTAATGAAGGAACATGCCTGAGCAAAAAGCATTTTTCAGAATATCACGCATGCAAGATTAACTTGAGCTTGCATCTTTATTCTGGAAAACAAAAACCACCGAGGTATTTCTCGCAACGGGAGATATGAATTGGAAGCGTGGGTGTTGTATCTCTAGCAAACCTTAAACTATCTCAGACCAAAATATGGGATTTTGCCCACCCTATTTCGAACCTCAAGACCAAAACAAAATTTATCATACCCTATCTCAGACTAGACTGGCCGCTCCAGCGTCAGCCTTTCAGATTAGGGCTTTAGAATTACTATCGAAGCGCACATTTTAGGAATTAAGGTAAACATGCGTAATAAATGAAAAATTTCGTTCTTTAAAGCCATACCTAGACCCAACGGTGCCCCACCAAATTTCAGAACAAGTGGGCTCACAGACCAAAACCATTTACGCCGCACACACCTACATATACCTTGGATAAGAGAATCCACTCGTTCCCCGTAGTAACACCATACTAATAAGAGGGTCTCAGTGGGGTTTATCGTTAGCCCTAAAACTGCTAAAAAATTGTAACGTTTAGTGGCAGGAACGAGAAGAAGAATATTACCTGGTTCTGTGGCGTTCCGAAAAAATTGGACAGATCTTGTTGTGGTGCCCGGGAGCTCGCAATATAACATGTTGGTTGGAAACATTGAGAAGTCGGTAAGCAAATTAATAGTACTGTCTTCCTAGCTTTTTCCCTTCCTAGTCGTTCAATAGCACAAGATATACTGCCACCTAGCCATAATCTTCCCCGTAAATTGTTTCCATTACAGTATTGTAATAAAATGCACGATTTCTTTTTATGCCCCTTTTTCTTTTAGAAGCGGCGAGCTTTTAAAAGAGAAATTCATTTTGTTTCCTATTTATTCTTTAAGATTCAAGAGGCCTTTAAAAATGATTCTAATCTTCAAAATGTGAGGGTGATACGATTGAGGTAGGACATTTGCTTGTTTACTTTAAATTTTAACCGGTTGACTGATAGTAGTATTTTCAAGTAACTTTTATATTTTGCATTCGAAAAGCCAATCACAGCGCGCGCTTCGATCCATCTCTTATCTTTATTGTTCATTTAAGATATTGCAACGTATCTGATTGGCCTAAAGACTGCCCTTTTTGAAACTGAAAGAATCACGTGAATGCGTACAAGAATTTTTCCAGAAAAGTTGGTATGCAGTTTATTCCAGAGCTTGTGATAATAGTTGGCAGATTGGAAAGCCTAGCGAATACGAAGCAGCTCATGACTAAAATATCCAAAGAACAAAAAATGCCACTGTGCTTGAAGCCTTTGGAAAGTTGACTCTTTTGGACCGCTTCTGTACGAAAAAAAAATATTCGGGTCCGAAAACTGCCGAGAAACTGCAAAACGTTTGACGAAATTGTACGTAGAGTTGTAAGGTAAATTGTGATACGTTATCGGCTTGAAAATACTTTAAAACAAGACAAAAAAATGGTCATGAACTTATTGTTAGTGTTGTTCTTGTTCTTGTTCTTCTTGTTCTTGTTCTTCTCCTTATTATTATTATTACTATTATTGTCGTTGTTGTTATTGTTGTTGTTGTTGTTAATAAGTTGTATTTATGTTGATGAAATTATCACGACCACTTTACCGAGCCAACATCGAACTGGAAAAGTGGAATCGAATGTCTTTTATTAACTTGTCTTCGTATATACGAAAAAACGTCATTAATGAATTATTGTTTTTGTGCGAAATAACAATGATATTTTGCACTTAACCTACATGTGCAGGAAACTCGAGGGAACTAAAAATTCTACGGTGCACGGAAATCTCGAGGTGGATTTTCAGTTGGAATTGAACAACCAGGCTCTAGCAAGAAGCAGTGTTCGTCGTGTTTTCTGGGTGATAAAAAATGGTACTTTGGATGGAATACCACTTCAAAAAGGATCGTTATTGCTGCATGGGCTAGGTGGGTGTATATGAAAAAGTAGGAAACTGCTATTTTTCTGAGCAAACTAACAGCGTGCTATTCACTTGCTTGACCTTTGCGATTTGCATCTTGTTTCGGGTGAGTCTTCTTTCTCTCTCCTTTTATCTTCTTCTCCATGATGTGTCCTTATCATTATCATCATCGTCATCATCATAATCGTCATCATCGCGCAAGGAAAGATAATCCACAATTTGAAAAATGCATTTTGGACTGAATTTGGATGGAATTCGTTTGAATACTAGAACTGACAGGAGGCAGAATTAGCACAGTCAGTTTGTGCGGGGCCTGTTGTGCGGGAGGTCCCACCCGGCTTCGAATCTCACAGTGTGACCTCAAAGACTTTTTTCCTTTCCGGTAGATTGAAGTAGCTTTAAATACCCGTAAAACGGGGCACTGATGGAGAAGGGAAGGGGAGAGGTATAAAGTGAGCGCACCTTCGGCTTTAGGTTTGTCAGCCAGATGACTATTTCGAGCTATTGACGTAAAATAACGATTCTTTACTTTTTTTCACATATTTCGGCCAACGCCCTAAGATTCATCCAAGTGCAACAGTTCTCCCACTATCTACTGACACACACTTTTCTTTTCAGCTTTACCAGTGTTTCCTAACAAGTGGCCATCAGGGGACTACGGTCTCCCAAAGCCAACTTCAGGATGTCCTGATAAAAACTGGAGAGAAGGTTTTAGATATCAAGACTCTGAAAATGTTCAAAATACGAACTTGGTATCGAACGGAAGCCATCTCTCGGGAAGAGTGAGCCAACATGGTGTTAGACAGGAATTCTGTATGCACCATGATACACCTGCAGGTGAATCCATCCCATGGCCTCGGGGAAAGTATTGCATTTATAGGAAAGGAGGAAAATGTCCACTTGGCTTAAGCGAGGGTACGTTGAAAAATGGTAAATTGAGGATACCAGCAAGGACTGTTTTCAGTTTGATACTGCTCGCTATATTTTCTAATTCAAAACGATTAAATTTTATTCATTCTAATTAAAGCTTTCAAAAAAAGTAATAGGCTAAATGAGATTGCTTGAATAGCTCGTCCTCGGTAAGAGAAGCTTAAGGACTGCAAAATTTTAATTAAAAAATAACTAAAATTGAAGTAAAATACTCAAAACAAAACAAACCAAACAAGCGTTTGCCTGCCGGGACCTTAACTTGCCCCTGATTGTATTTTCTTCAGGCAAATTTTATGCCCTATGATTAATCTCTTAATATTGTTTCAGGTTGGATTCGATGGGATGATGAAAACAGGAAAATAGACTTCCCAAATTCTCTGGGAGGAGATCTTCCTGATGGTATATATGGGCAAAATACCTTGATTTATTTTTGTTGTAGCATATCAGGAAGGAAGTCCGCTGCTATTTCTTTGCCGTATAAAACTCCGTTTTATTTGATCGCCTATGGTTCATCTGAATGCCAACAAGTCCGCTATCACAAGGCAAGTTTCTGCTTCAAATTCAACTCTAGTGAATTCTAATTCTCCGATAGAAGATACTGAATTAGCTAAGTCAGGATAAAACAGATAAAAGCACACCTACTTCAAATTCTCATTCCTTGTTACATCTATAAACGAGAAACAACCTCGTCCCCAGGGCGCTTTTCCATGGCTTTGGAGGAGCCAGGGAAAAGCGCCCTGGGGACGAGGTTGAACGAGAAAAGGAGCCTATTACATTTTAAGGGTAAATGGGTTCCAGACAATGAGTAATATAAACTGTCTATTCAACTGTCCAGTTAGATAAAATGAGTTTTCTGCAGCTTTTGTAGATCATCATAAAGTCAGCTATCTTTCCAAGTATTTTCTGATTCGAGAAACAACAAAAGTTCAATTATTGCGTTAGCCTTCTTTCACTGTGCCTGATCCCTCATGGTGGCCAGCGGTTACGTTTAAGGTTAAATTTGATTGGTTGGGGATTGAAAGATTCATCTTCTAATAGCACCTTATCTTGGGCTGCATCGTGAAAGTTATTGCATATTGTTGTACATGTACATTAATTACTTAAGCGTAAAGTCAACTGGTTATTTTTTCCTCTACGCAGGTTACTTCGGAATATCTTCAATTTGACGACGAAGACCAAGAAAATACTAATTCGCATAGCAGAATATCACCTTATGGAGCATCAGAGGATCCTTATAACAACCGTCTATACTACTGTTACTATCAGCCAAGTAAGTCATTCTTGTTTGAGCTTTTGAGATATCGAATCCGTGTTGTATAATGAAGACACTGTGATGAGTCAAATCAGGATTGTAAGTCCTGCTAATCAAGCGACTGCCAATCTATTTTTCAGTTCCTTGTGATGTCATTGCTGACGCTGCCTGCCTCAACCGAGATCCAGTCACGACGGAAATGGAAGAAAGAATCAAGGTGTTGTTACACAAAGATCTGTTACGTAGTCTCGGAACTTGCAGCTTCTATTATACTGTCATGTTAGCTTGTGGTTGTAGAAAGAATGGTTGTCTGGAGTCACCATCCTTGGTTTTTCTTGATGGGCATAAGCAACTCAAGAGAATTCTACTGCTCTCGCGTCTGCCAGGAAAATCCTTCAATGCATGCAGGCCACATTTTCTCTTTCCAGTACCGGATCCAGACCTTGAGATAAGTGGGGTGGGGGGTTGGTCATCTAGACTTTTAGATAAGAGTGGCCGCGGTCTCCAAAAAAAATTTTTTCATCCCTTCGGGCCTTAGTTTGGTCTAAAATAAGGGGGGGGGGGGGGGGGACCCCCCCTAGGCCCCCCATTCGCTTTTCCCCCCCCCAGGGGGGGGGGGGGGGGAGGACCCTCCCCTAGATCCGCCATTGCTTTGTACCCTCCCTATCCTGCTTACAGGTTGCTGTCCTGTGAACGTCTATGATTGGTTCCACTTCCCTTTATCTTTCAAAAATTAAGTTTTGCTTGATGAAAGTCTGATTTACAACAGATATCCGAAGCTAACCCCACTTTCTATTTTATTTTGCAGGTAACATTTGTGCCAGAGAAAACCACAACTCGAGCTACTAAGTTTATGAGTGGGAGCGGAGTGGGGATTTTTCTGATGGGCACTGCATTCATAGCTGTATTTGCAAGAAGATTTATAACGCGATCAAGAGCGATTTAGATTGAGAAGTCTCTCATATATTTTCTTTAGAGATATTCGAGCGTTTGGTTCCTCGGGTGCGTGGTAAATTTTCTCCTTATGACGCGATGAGCAGGAGTAATGGTCCTTACTATGTTAAGTTCTCTAGAAGGCCAAAAATGCCGAAAGTTGGGTGGCTTATTGATGGATTATTAGAGCAGGCGCAGGCGATTGCACGCAATCCGAAAATGGAGCCAAAAGGCCTTGTTCGAAGTTGCGAGTGTTTCGATTACACATGACACCTAAGAAATCACAGGACATCCATCACATTAAGAAGCGTTCTCTTTCGTCGATCGCAAACCTCTCTCGAGACTGAGTCGATGAAAAATTCTTATTTGTCTTAGCCCCAGCATAGCGCTTTTTGTTTATTTCAGCTTCTGCCTTCATTGACAGCCCCTACTGTTTTGTTTTACATCCAAAAATATGGTCAGGCGCACTTAATAAAAGGCAGATATCCAGCTTTTTTTTTCGTGCTGAGTTTAAGAGAGGTTTCCTGAGTAATTTAGCTCAGCTTTATTCAATGCGAATTTTCTGTTCATCGTAAAATTCCAGACAAATTCATAATATGCACCACCCTCTCATTTTTCAGAAGGAGGAAACGTGGCCGAGTGGTCTAGCCGAGGTTGTTGGTTTCCCCGGGTACAAACCGCTCATGCCATAACCAAGGGATGTTTTCCTTTGTGGTCATGTTTTATATAAGGCCATGCAACTGGTTTGCCTCTAGTTAGTTGGGATTTTTATCATGTTTATTTGCAATATTATCCTTATTTATGAGTCACAATGGAGACTACTGGGCAACCAGTAACAATAGTATTAGCGACGGACCATTAGAAAAGTTGTGTGGGGTAGGAGATTTTCGAGCCGCATGATTTTTTTCCGTAAACAATTCCCCTCTAGGAATATTTTAGGCCAGTTCACGAATATTTTTTTGAGTTACTTGGCGTGCATGATTTTTTTAAATGTTCCCTTGCATCAATCTTTGTTGTACGTCACCCACCCCTCCCCACCCAATAGTTTTTCTAATGGTACGTCCCTTATGATAAATATAAGTGCCTTTTTGGTGTGGGATTACAAGCAGCTGTAAAATATTAATTCTCAATTCCGAACGTGGCTCTACATGCGAGAAGAGGTTCCGGATTCAAATCAGATGAACAGTTCAAATAAATATTTCCAACTACTTATATAAATACGTGTAATAAATACAGCTTCACTTAACAGCTATTGTGATAAGAAAGGACACACAGTATCTGGCTACATGTATCAAAGACATCTCATTGCTCAAAAATGAGTCGCTTATCAGAATTGAAAATTTGACCAATGGCGCATTTACACTACACTCTCAGAAATATTAGACACTTAGTGTTCAAAAACATGAGGCATTCAAGTTTGCACTTAACAGCCAGGGCCCAGTTGCTCGAATCATGGTTAGCGTTAACCAGCGTTTAATACCTTGACAACGTATTGGTTCTGATTCTGCTTAACCAATGGTTAAAGCTAACCATGCCTTGAGCAACTCAGCCCAGACATTTATTTCTTATTTCATCCAGAAGCGCTCTAGAATAAATACGGTAAATGTGCCTTACTCTGAAGTCGGAGATAAGGTTTTTGACATCCAGTTAATTGCTTTCAAAGTGATCTCATATCCCCAGAAAAGTGCCGCCCCTTCAGGGGCAGCCCTTAGCAGAACTGGAACAATCCCTTTATACAATGCAAAGACGCCTTCATTCCGCACTAACTCCCTTAACGCATCTCTAACCCCCCTGGGATATTTCCCTTCGGGTGCCGTCCAAATACGGCTTGTCAACACATCTGCAGGAAGCCCTACTAACCACCAGACTGTCCCAGCGATACCTCCTGCGATAAGTACCGGAAGGGACCCTACATCATCGCGCGATATACCCGCTGGAAGAAGCGCCCTTGTTAGATACTCATACGAAAGAAAATAGCATCCTGTTGCGGGTGCCGTTAAGAGATTTGCGGAGAGCCCCCTATACAGCCCTCGTAAGCCATTAGTGCGAAAAATGTGAAAAGCTAGCGAGGTTGGTCCCTCGTAATGCGCACTAGCACTAGACAATTGCTGTACTTGAAGGCGACACTTGACAAGATAAAATGGCACGACTACGGCTGACACACAAGTGCCGGAAATTAAACCAGCGTTGAATATTTCCACCGGGGTCAATGCATCGAAGTTCTGATCTTTACTCTGAAGTTTCAGTCCCATTCCGTAACCCCAGAACGTCAGACTCGCAACTGGAACGGAGAGAAGTAAGTGAGGTGATAGACCCTTGAACAAAGCCAACGCGCCTTCCTTTCTCACAGTCTGCATAATACAGTCAAATGTACCGCGGAACTTGGTCTTTTGGGCAAGGATTGCTGTTGTCTGAAGACGGACTTTGATGGTGTCGAGGGGGTGACCAACAGTTACTGAAAACAGTCCGCCGACAGTCCCCGCTATTGAGTAACTGATGGGTGAGTGGATTTCGGAGTGTTCCATTTCAACGCTTGCTTCACCCATTTTGGCCACGTCACAGAACAGAAAAGCACTGCGTCTGTAGTCTGCTCTTACCTAATATTAAATTGAACCAGTAAAGAAAGTTAGCAACATTTGCGGGACCTAGCAGCCTATCGTTGTCGCTGTTGATGTTAAATTTAGCCTACCGAAATTTCACAAGAAACAATACGAGTTCTCCTGAATGGTATGACTCTTCCAATAAAATGATGATATTTGTTAAAAAGGAGTTTACAAATTAAAATAATAATTTATCACGCATCTTGACTTTGTCTATACTGGTATGGTAAGCATTAAATACCAACCTAATGTCGACAAAACTCCCAGAAAAAATACAGAGCTTCTTCAAAACACTTACATTTAGACTACATACAACAGTAAGTTAAAACATTTAGCGTTATCCTATAATATAGGTTGGGAGAAATTAGTAGGTACAATACTGTAGAGATGTGACTTTTGTGGCTTTAATTCACGTTTCAAAACAAACGACGATGGTAGTCATGATAACTTTAATGATGATGATGACGACCACGATAAATGATGACGATGACGATGATGACAATTTTATTAACTGTCTAAGCTACCACAGTACCCTGTTAAATTAATAGAAACTTGGTCCATTAAAATCACATACAACCTTTTAGCACAGAATGTTTGCTTATGACTATATCCCAAATGTCTTGCAGTTGTCAGTTTGGTAACAAATGATATATTATGTGATGAACCCTGATCTCCCTCCATTTTTTGCAACCTATTTATTTGAGATGAGGCTATATGAGATACTGATTGGTACATACTTTACTTGCCTGTCTGTAACCATAATATTAATAAAGCAGATATTGAAGGCTGACCCTAGCGGTATATATTCCCCGGCCAGTGAGTTCAGTGACAGTTCTTATGAAGATACGTCACCATGTTTTTATGCAATTTACCCCACATAAGAGCACAGTATTATGCAAATTCCTTGGGCATTTTTTTTACAAACACCAGCTCATAATTATTTTGTTTTCCACTTACAAACACCTTTTACACTCCCTCGATTTATCAAAAATAAACTAGAGTCCAAAACCACTTTTTAGTTATTTTACGTGTATAACTCTGATATGGCTTTTCTTTGTTTTCCAGTTTAGCTGAAATAACAATGAATCCTGCACATTGTCAGAGGCTTTAATATTGAGATCTGGGGAAGAAGCCAAAGTGTTACTTAAAAATAAAGAAAATGTTATGCCAGGTTAGAGTGCCACCCTTCCTTTTCAGAGATGTCAGAGGGTCCACTGATCAGAAATTAATACTTAGGCTCTTCCCCAATCAAACCAAACACACCTCTAAGGACAGGTACTTAACTGCATCCTATCACCCCGTGTAAGGGAATCTGAATTCTGTAATCCAGAAAATTTCTTCTTGTGGGATCCGAAATCCAGGAAAATTCTGCTTTAATAATGTGGAATCCAGAATCCTGGTCTTTGGAATTCAGAATATATCTCAAGGAATCTGGGATTGCACTAAGAGAGAAATCCAGAATCCAGGTTCCACTCACAAAGAATCCTGAATCCAATACCTTGAATCAGGAATCCACGGTGTGGAATCCAGAATCCAATACTGTGTTGGATTCCGTTGCATGAGGCAAGTCCTACATTGAGTCCCTCTTAAGAGGGGTACATATGTCCCTCGTCTAAATGTCAAAACTGTTGATTTTGCCTTTTGAGGAGGAAGCCATTTAAGCAATTAACTGTTTAGTTGAGATGAGGCTATACATCATCAGTATCAGTAGATACTGTAAGGGGTAAGGGGGGAACGTTATGTCCCTAGTTTAAATTACAAATCGCACATTTTGCCTTTTGAGGAGGAGGCAATGCCACTGTCATTATTTTACTATCATTGTTGCAATTGTCTGTGTCACCGACGCAGTTTCAACCCATCTTCATGTGACTCATTTGTCACAATTTCATCTGTCAAATGTTGCTGTTTGAAGGCCATGTCGATGTCGCTTGTTAAAATTAAACCTAACAGGGATTCCAAAATCGCACATGAACAACTCAGCCCTCAGTTGACTTTGTTGTGGACACTGAAGGCAGTAAAAGGGCTACCCTGGAAAGGGGGTGGGACCTGTTTACAACTACTAGCACATGGGACAGCTCATCTTGATAAAAATTAGAGGACATTATGAAGAGATCAAGAGATACACACATATTAAGCAGAATAATCAAGAGATTCTCAAATTAGTAGAAGTCTGATGGTTAGGCACATAAATACTGCATGTACACACCACTATCTTAGTCATGCCTAGATAATATAATCATGCAGTTCAGTATCATGCTGCAATTACATATACCCCAGTATATACCTGTTTCTACAACATGCCCTCCCCAGAGCAGATTCCTCTATTTCTACAGAAGTCACAGGCTGCAGGGATCAAGTTATTTGTGACCTTGATTGCAGTTAGATTTTACAGTTGATAGCACGAAACACCTTTACTTTATACTGTAGAATTGAATGTGACCTTGACAGATCAGACAGTCATAAAATATTATCAAAAGTGTCACCCAAAGGTCACCCCTCTTTGCCACCTAACTTAACATATTGTCACATAATGTGGCATTTTTGCAAAGCATCTGATGCCAAAAAATTAGAAAGAGTACAGGAACGGGCATTACATGCTGTATATGTGACCCTTCACGCAACTTGGGGGCTTATCTAAATTTCATGCTATGCCTATTTTCACGATCCAGGCCGTGAAAGTAAGAAAAATTTTTGGAATGTGAGTGAAATTTCTCTTTCACGCCGTGAACACGCCGTGAAAAATTCACGGCTACCGTGAAAATTTCATGCAGTGAAAAAGTTTATAATCGCCGTGAAAATATTTCATGCCGTGAAAAATTTCAGTCACCGTGAAATTTAATTTCACGCCGTGAAAATCTTCCAACAGTCAAAATGAAATGTAACATTGTTTGTTTACATGTCATGCAAGCATTTATTTGCCCACATGAATGTAACATGTACTGGTCAGTACTTTTTGATTTTTGATTTTCGGCAAAACAGATGAAATCGCTTAAAAAGTGAGTCACCGAAGATTCTCTAAATTTACAACCAAAAGAAGCTTTTATCTCTTCCACGAAGTTATGCAAATGCTAGACTCCGTGGCGACAAGATGAAATATGTAACGCATGTTTTGATATTGCGTGATATCTTTTGGATTTATTTCATTCCTTCTGTTCAGATCGTTGGTCATCGTTGTAACGGCGAAATTTTGAGTATAACATTTAGCAAAGAGACAAGGAACTTGAAATGGAGCATGATAAATCAAGTAGAGTTTGCACGTGTGATGGGGCTACAAAACTGTAGATAAGATCAGGCACTTCACTGCAATGCGCGTCGACATAGACGACAATTATCCCGGTTTTAGGAATGGCAGTAATAGTTAGTCTTTCCGCAAAGAATTTTGTTAGGTTTCTTGAGTGAAAACCTTGCCATGTTTAGTAAATAACTAGGCGTCTCTGACATCGACATTGGGAAAATTTGCACGTTGCGGAGAAGAAAAAAAAGAGCCAAAAGTCACCGACTGTTGCAGTTACAGACAATGTAAACAAATTGACATGAAACACAAGCAGTTACGATCGTGCATATCTAATAAAATACTTGCCATGAACACACAAAAATATCGACAAGAAATTGTGACTAGTTTGATTGTGATTTGTGGCTTTACAGGCCTGAACGCGGAATAGTCTGAATACGTTTTTTTTTTAATTTTTTTCATGGGCTATTTAAAATGGCTTGAATATGCAGAGAGAAATATTATTTTTTGCGTGGGATCAACTTCCACAAATTTAGCTTGACGTGACCAGGTATTCTTGTTTTTTTCCAGTTCGAAAAGGGGCGAGAAAAAACACAAAACGAAAAAAAACAGGTTAGATTTCATTCACCCTCGACATGTTTCACGGCGTGAAAATGTGTTCATTCTTAATTTCACGGCGTGAAAGTTTATACCGGTTAAATAATCACGGCGTGAAAGTCTTCGCTGATCTGTCGCAACATGATTAGTTTCACGCCAAGAGTGAAAAATTCTCGCATGGAGTGAACGGGCGTGGAATTTGAAATTCACGCCGTGAAAACTCTAATTCACGCACCGTGAGCGTGAAAAAAATTCACGGTTTTTAGTAAAATCCATAAGCCCCCTTTTCGCATGAAGGGTCACATATAATGATAGGAATGCTACGTAAGAGGAACTCCAAGAGAAGGGAAGACTCTCTAGTCTTGAGAAAAGTGCAACAGTGTCAGATTAATTTTGACTGACATTTTATTTGCATCATTGCAATGTAATTGGCAGGAGCTAAAATTTATTCCCTCAACCTGTTTGGGGGCTAACCTTGCTGCTCTGCGGCCGTGAAAAGTACTACAAACTTCACAAAACCAAATGATGAGGCAATGAAGAGCTTTTTGAAGTCTAAGCTACATGTTTGCATTTTTGCCGCTAATGGGGCTGCAAAAAGAGAGACCAAGGTGACACACCATTTACATGGGAAAACTGGAAATTCCCGTCGTAGAATCATTTAATGTTTCTCTCCATTCTGTTTGGGAACCTTCTGATAATATGGGCTGTGATTTGAGGTGATGTAATTTTTCTGCTCTTTTTAGTCTGTTCAGCTGATTTGCACATACTTTGTAGTGGATCGACGTTCTCCCACCACATCAAATTTTATAGCTTTAGGGTTGCACAAGATCTGGGGTCCTTACTATTTACATTACCACCTGGGTGGAAAACCAGGTAGTCGTGTAAATAGTAAGAACCTCAGATCTATCCTGCACGCACTGTGAGTTTGCTGATCCAATAAAGCAACAAATACAAATGCATACGCGAGTTACGAAATATAATGTAACAGCTTACGTAATATGAGTTAAAGCTTAGCAATTGGCGCCGGCAAATGAACCTGAAGAAAACATGACTAATGACCTGTCCCTTCTGTTAAGTACTTTTACGTATTTGTATGTAACCAAAGGAAAAGCTTACCGCTGTTGATTAAAATGCCTCACCTGCTTTCAGCTAGACATTTCACGAAGAACTTATAAACGTTGCGCAATGCTTCGTCAAAAAGTCGCAGGCGTTACAAAACAAGGCCAGGGAACTCAGCCAACCGTGAAGGACTGGAATGAGCTATTGCGTGACAAATGTCACGCAGACAGTATCTGGACAATTATGGCGGCGCAGAACGCGGCAGAAGGCGCTTTTTGTAGTACTGAAGAAAAGGTGATCGCATCCATGTTCAGTGGGATATGGAAGAGCCGTTGCTTGAGTGTTTTGGTGTCCCTAGGTATCCCGGAGCTGTTATGTGAATCTTCCGAATCCGTCAGCATTCAGGAGATCGCTAAAAGGACTGGATGTCGCACGGGCGAACAGATCTACAAAATCATGAGAACCATGGCTCAGTGGGGCATTGGAGAGGAAATTAGCGGCGAGAGGTCTTTTAAGGCTAATAAGGCCATGGAGTTGCTAAGGAGAGACAAAGGGCCGAGTCTCGGACACATGGCTGCGTATTATGGTAGCGATGAAGTGTGGAGCAGTATGTTGGTTTTTCCTGATGCGGTCAAAAATGGTGTTACAGCGTTTGAGCTTGCTCATGGCATGAACATCTACGACTACATGTACAAAGTTGACACCCTGGAGTATGTACCTGGAAAAGCGACAACGAATAATCTCGTACGAGATCTGGGTTCGCAGCAAAGAAGGTGCGAATTCGCACATAATTATGACCGCGCTATGAATATGTTATCTCAGTTGGAGCTGCTCAGTTCGCAGCCAAGCGTTTTCACCGTGTACCCCTGGGGCAAGTGCAAACGGATCATGGACATTGGGGGAGGGGAGGGTCAGTTTTTGTCGCGCATACTTAAATTACCTGGATGTGAGCACGTCAACGGGGTTCTTTTTGATTTCCCGGATGTTATTGAACGTGCTAAAAAGTTCTTAGCAAAAGAGGGGATTCCGGATAATCGAATAACATTTACTATGGGAAATATCCTGAAAGATGTGCCGCAATCAACAGAAGTGGATACAATCATTGTCAAAAACTTGTTTGTAATTTTTAGCGATGATGAAATGATCAAAGTCTTGGAAAACTGTCATGAAGTCCTGATAAAAGGTGGAAAGTTTATAATTGTGAATAGTTGTAATCCCGAAGCTGGAGACACAGACCACAATGTAAATTCATCAGGCATGCATCCTGGCTTTCGTGGTATTCACATTATGACTCTGTGTAAGACAGGAAGATTCAGAACCAAGAGTGAGTGGTTACTGTTGATTAACAGATTGTGTTGTAAAGTGGCTTTTAAGTTAAATCAAGTATTTGACACTGGTGATGGCCCTACATTATTTGAGTTGCTTAAATGTGACTAAAAATATGTGTAGGCTCAATTTCTCTAGTGTGGTGCTGTAAAAATACAGTGCTGTAAACTGCAGTGTAAACTATATTAAAAACATAAAGACATACACATACTTTTTGTTCTTTTAAAAGTGACATTGTGCAAAAATCAATATGATCCTACGGTATCTTTGATCTCTTGATGAAGGGGGTACATGGAAATAGCCTTAAAATATTGAAATAAATGTCATATTTTCCCTTTGTTTCACTCACAGACAGAAAATAATTTCAAAAGTAAATCCAGAAGTTAAGGAATAGTCATTTGGAGCTTTTTTGTTTGCATCCTTCAGGACTTGGACCAGGGACTTGACTTTGCTATAAACATAGTGAGTTGTTTTTAAATTCCAATGAGTTGGATACCAAAACTTGAGAGAGAAACTTCTTTGGGAGCCGGTTATCCAGCTGCATGACTTACAATGTTTCCCTTTTGATAAACCCAGTGAGTGAACTCCCTTAGACTGTCTTGGACGCCCTTTTGTAAATCAGTTACTTAGTCCTCCTTTGTTAATCATCCTATGAAATTGTGGAACCTAATTTGTAAATTAATTAAACCCAGTGAGTTTCTCAGCATCAAGACTTTTAAGAACAAAATAACTAAACTGATGAGCTAGCAAATGTTTTTGATCCCAATAAACCTTGTTCATAGGGACTAGCACATAATTGTTGTTGGCATTGGAAACAATAGTTTCAAAAGCATTGTTTAAGATTTTGTTTTTAAAAGTGAGTTTTTCTGTTTTATATGGGAGGTGCCCTGCATAAGACTTCAGGTGCCATTCACACATTACCTTTTTTTTTCTTTTTCATTTATATTTAGTTGAGAAGAGATTTAGACCAATAAAGTTGAAAGCTGAAACAAATAAGAGTTCAGCTTCTGGGGGCCGAGTTGTTCAACGCTGGGTTAAGATAACCCAGGGTTAGTGCGAGATTTGCATTAAGATATGAAAGCCTAATAATCATTTCAGTTTTAATTCTTTTTGTCGACAAGTTGATTATTGAAAACTTTAAAAATAACAGAGAAAATATCCAAGAAAATGCTTTTAAACACAAGAAAAAGAAACCCGGGTTAAATTTAACCTTGGGTTAAGCACTAATCGGCCTTTGAACAACTGGGCCCTGAAGGCCTTTAACTGTCATCCTGATGTTATTAACTACACAACATGGCCAGCTGACAGAATGTTGTAGTCATTAATAATCAGCATTGAATGACTGTTGTTTGTAAACAAAATGAGTTTTACCAGATATTGATCACCTGACTTTGCATTGATCAAAAGACAATATCAGTAGTAAAAGTGACAGATCTAGGGGAGGCGCCTGCGGATTCTGCGTTATAACACAGGGAGTTCTTAAAGAGTGTTGTTTTTAAGTCTTTATCCTTTGGTTGTGAAATCTGTGCAATTAAATTGATTTCCACTGTCAGGAAGGACGTATTGAAAACCTGTACTAACAAGAAACCGTTTAGTGGGATAAATAACAGTATAAACATGAATTTGAGTTAGTTTGATGCTGAATAATTTGATCTGCCTTTGAATTCAAATGATAAAAAGGGGCGTAGTCGAAGAACTACAATTACTGAGCCACGTGGGCTAAGGAAATATATTTGATACTTGATACGACAGATTGACTGGTTAAACACGTCCAACAAGATATCCGTAGGTCCGATCTTTTGCAGAGAAGGTGCACTTTTTAATTAAGGTGAAACAGTCAAGGGTATGTTGGTGTTTGTGTGAGCAACTGGTACATAATCGTCACAGTATTTCGCTTTCGACGACATTACCAACATTTTTATCAATGGTATTTCCTCGTAGAATGGAAATGGACCTTTGCTCAGGCTTCCCTGCCAGATCATTGTAGGTTGGATGATTAGTTGGTCTGCCTGTGCTTTCACTTTGAAAAGCTGCTTAGAGAAATAAAAGTAGAGCAAAGAAAAGTCTTTTTGCTGAAAAGTAGTATATCCAGAAACAGGAATACTATCCATCTCAAAACGATGAAATCCGTCATCTTTAAAAAAAGAGTTTGAAGTCGCGGGTGCGAAATCTCTTACGTCTTTGCAATGACCGTTTCTTGACGTGGCTAAGGCTCTTAAGGTTTGGCTTCGAGCTTTTCCCGTAGTTGCCACCTTGTCTTCGACCCTTTTACCTGTGGGACCTTTGATCTCAGAGTCATGAGTGCCTTTTTGGAGACCTTTTCCTTCCTTGGTGCCCTCATTACTTCCGTGAGTGACCCCTTCCCTTATGATCGGGCCGTCAAATTCACCATTGCCTTTCGGGTCTGGCTTTTGCATTTTTAAAACGACAATGTTGGGTTGAACGTCGTCTTCATCAGAGCTGAGAAAGAAATGACAAAATATTAATAATGTATTAAAATGTACTAAAATTCTTTTTTGAAAACTATTTAACGAAGTTACTAATCTCGGTTTAGGAATGGCGAAGGTTACGCTGAAGGTTTTACGGCCAGTTAAAAGTTACTCCAGTTCTCGAGTCGTGGTAAGAGAAGGTCTCGGTACTTAAAAGGGTACATGTTATTAAGCTAAACAAAAACAAGAGACAGCAACAATTTAGGAGAGATGGTCATTAAATTCCAAGGGTAATTCGTCATGAGGTATATATCGATCAAGTGAAGAAGGACTTAAATCCTCCCTGTAAAATTGCCGGTCAGAAAATTGGCGTCCTTATGAGAGTTAGAAACTTGATTCCGACGAATGCAAAACTTATGCTTTTCAAAACAGCAATATTGCCGCACCTTACATATTGCCACCTTGTATGGCACTTTTGCCGAGCCAATGATTCTCGTAAAATCGAGCGGATGCAAGAAAGGGGCCTGCGTGCTGTTTTTAGGAACAATGTTAGCTACCCTGAACTTCTAAAAAGAGCAGAACTGCCAAGTTTACAGAACAGAAGACTACAAGACATTTGCGTTTTAATGTATAAAGCCAAGAACAATCTATGTCCCCCCTATATCAGTGACATTTTTATTGAGCCTAGATCTAAGTATAACTTAAGGCAGTCTGATTTCTCCGCTGCCAGGTACAATACGGTAACATATGGCAAGCACTCCCTCCGCCACTTGGGGCCCAATCTCTGGGGAAAATTATCTCCAGACTTGAGAGAAGTTACCACCTTAAAATGTTTCAAAAACAAAATACGTACATTAAATATAGTTACACTAATGGATAATGGATGCAAGTGTTGTCATCTCTGCAATTCATAGACATATTTGTCATACTGTAAATATTGTTAAGGTCATTAATTTTTTTATACCTGCGCTTATATGTAAATACTTTAATTTATATTTATATTTATATTTATTTATTTTGTGTCCCCTAATTAGCATAGGTTTTTTAACCTAAGCTAGGAGGCTTCTTTAGACACCTTAATAAAGTTTCATCATCATCATCATCATCATCCTCCCGCAATCGATTTAGGTAATTTACTGACAATCTTGAGCGGAAACTCTACAGGTATCTTTCTGTGGTACTCATTCTAAAAGTTAGACCTTACACCGAATTACCCAATGATCGCTGGACACTTTCTGATTTTCTTTTCTGGCACAACCTGACACGCAACATTACGCAGTCTTTAAAGGAGCTGTGTCACGAAATTCAGCTTAATTAGGAAATTACAAAATGCCCGTTAAATTAAGAGAAACATAAAAATAACCGCTTAAAACTTTAAAGGAAGGTTAAAATGACATAACAGAAACAACAGATGCCACGGATGGGCAAAACTGAAGAAGATTGAAACGGATTAATGTTCAGCCTAACAGTTTTTCAAAGTTGATCCCTGCTTCTTGCAACTTCAAAAAAAAATGCTCGGGAGACATATTTGTTTGTCTCGGATCTCAGATTTTGTCATTTACATGTAATGTATTTGCTTACTTTAAGTTCCATAGCGATTGAGGGCGATAATTGGCAAAATTAAACAAAATGTACTGGACTGCCGTGACACAGCCCCTTTAAATACTAACGATTTGTTCACACTATACCATTCGCGCCGGTACGAAAATGTACGAGCATACCGAACAGGGCTTCTGTCCAAACATAAAATAGTGATTTCGGCGCGATTTCTGTAACGGAGCGAAGTTGTACTACACCGAACTCTAAAGTGGAGAGTCACATATCCGGATAGGTATTCATATTATACCGAATAGCTTTTCGTGTCGGCGCGGCACCAAAAAGCTATCCGGGGAAGTTAAAACAAAGTTGAAGTGGAACACAGATTCACGAAATCAAATTAACTGGTCCTATCCACTGCCGGGGTGATATGGTTGTGCGCATGCGTAGGGTACTGGCCATACCGTGGAGTTGGTACGTGTGCCTTCAGTGCATGATTTGGACGTTTCTTGTATGTCAGTGCCCGCTGTGTCAGTCCTACTTCTTGAATATATGTATGATGTGACGGTCATTTTAAAGACTTCAACTTACCCTGAATCAGAGAAACACCTCCGGTAGATCCCCACGACAACAATTAATGCAAATATCGCAACGATGATTACAAAAATTTTCTTCCAATTCTCTTTTATCCATTTGTAAGCGGAATTTGCTTTTTTCGCTTTGTCCTTCAATTCATTCAGGTCATTACCTGCGGTGGAAAATTAAAAATACCAGAACTTGCAACAGTCTGGCCAATACCCAAAAAATGAAGCAACTGACAACAGCAATAAAAGAAACAATTATTACAGTAACAACAACAACAACAACTGAACAAAAACGTCTGAAATATCGTTGTTAAATGCTGTTTATTAGAGACCTTTAAATTCTAAGACGAGAACGACTCAGAGTACGAGATTTTCTCGATACTAAGTAGTGCTCGCGCGTGAACCAGCGTCATTTTGGCTGGAAAACGTGGTAGCCGTCGTCATTCTACTACGAGTTTTAGCGAGAATGATGTTACACCGGGACGATTCACAACGACGATTTTTAGCGCGGCGATTTTTAGTGTTTGAACAAGATTGTAACCATTCGAAACAATGTCGCAACAATGTTGCAACGCGGTGTTATTGCGGTAAAAATAGTCGTTGCGAATCGTCTCGTGTAACATCACCTTCAGTGGCGGGAACAAGTTATCAAATGTTAGAAGTTTTAGCATTTTGGAAACGGTAGAGAGCTCAACCTTCTTCAATAACAATAGCAGTGCTAACTTTTCGGTGAAAAAAAAGTACAATGAAGAATTGAGGGGTGTCTATTTCTTGACAATACGCGACAAAGCTTTAAATGAAATCTAGTAGTCGTAGTCGTTGTCGTCCTCAAACCTAAAGGTCTCGAAAATGTTGTAAAAGGGCGTTGGAAACAATCTAAGTGGTAAAGGAGACGTACACGAGGAGTTCCTCCGAAAATGAGACATTTTTTAGGACGGTAGAACTAAGCCGTAATACATGCAACTGCTGCTACATAACAGAGATCAGTGCTTCTTTTACGATAACAGTTGTATTAAAATTTCTTCCAGGGTAAAGTCGTTGCTCAACCACTCGTCTTGTCAAAAAAAAAACACAGTAAATAATAAATAAAAATAAAACAAATAGACAAATAGTGATGATGATTATTAGTTTGCAAACCAACTCTAATTTTTTTCTTTGACCAATACCTAAAAGAAAAAAAAAACTAACTCACGTGTCCGCCGGAGAATCTCAGTTAAAAATGAAATTACTCACCAACTTCCTTTCTGACGCGATGTTGCACTAAAAGGTTAGACCTATCATTGTTTTCTTCCTTTCCTTCTTGATATTGCAAAATAGGGTGTGAGTATATTGAAGCATTGCTTGTTACGCCTACACAATAAAAATCATTAGTGAAGACCCATATATTCTCTCAAGAAAGGGCTAGGCACACATTGTTTGCTCATAATTTTAATAGAGAGATTTAGAATCACGTTTACGTCAAACGGGAAATTTGAATTTGCAACACGTGACCAACTTTCCCTTTAGTGTTGTTTTCTGTTCATTAAGTTTACACAAAATTTAGTACGCCATTTTTTTACATTAGAATTGTTGTGAATTGTTTATTTTCTATTTTGAGAAATTCTCAACTTGAATCTAATGTTTGCCGTATTGGCCTGTGACTCAAAATCTTTCTATTATTTATTACCTAAGAAAATGCGGAGATAGTCAAACAGCCTTAATCAACGACAGTTTCTTTTATTTTCTAAAAAAATATAGTCTAGCAGATGTAGGTCAGATTGTCTCACGTAACATGATGCATGATGCTGAATGTTTCTGTTTTACGTATTATTTGGACAATGCTTTTTTTTTCTTTTCAGTTCTAAACTTGGATATGATTCAAAATTCGGTTCCAGAAAACATTGTCTACGCTTGACAAATTAAAGCGAATGGAAGATATCAATAGTTTGGTTTCAAAAGCTTGAATTCACTTTATGACGTTTTCGCTGCCGTCACTTTCGTGTTTGCGTAAGCTCCCTATTCATGTTATTTTCGCAACCGACAAAAGCACGCGCACAATTAGAACACACAGGTTATCCCATCTAGGAATGCCAGCAATTGAAAGGTATTTTGAAATTATTTCATCCTAGAGATAAAGGCACGTGAAGTTAGCTTTACGCTATACTGCTACAAAATTAACTAGGTTAAAAAGCAATAAAAGCAGCTTAAAGTAAACGTAAGGCCCACAAACCTGCGTTTCTTGGCTCATACGTTTTCAAAGAGTAACAGATCCTTGATCCTAAGAAAATTGCTAGTATCACTGGTAGAACCAGGACACTGCCTCTCCCCATCGTCACAATACAGTAGCATGAAAGTCTGAAATGTCTTACTGTCACTCATTCAATTTCACAAGGACAATTATGGAATACAGAACGTGTAAACCAACATAATTAACCACTTTTGTTTGTTACGTTTAATCATTTAATATTTTGTTACATTAATTAATGCTACAGCTGAGGGCTATATAGCGTAAGTAATGACTTCAAAGGGTTAAGAATGAAGTATAGCATGGGGGTTCCGGTGGCCGATTTACTGGTTTCAAAGTACTATTTAAAATGTTAGAAAGTGTCCGACAAAATAGATCTTTTCAAAATATGCCATTTTTGTGATAAACAATTTCCGCATCAAGTTGAACAGTTTGTAACTAGGCTAGGATATACATGATTAAGATTGTGATACATCAGTTTATCAAGAAGCAAAAACTTTTTTATTACGAGTCTAAGAAATCAGGAGAGCTTCGCAGGGTGGTCCACCGCACCGCACTTGTTTACTGCATGAAGAGATGACCCAAAAAAGAATATCAGCTGTTTGGGATAAATGGCTACAAGCGTGACGTATTTATTAAAAAAATAATAATAAAACAATAATAATGATTAAAAAACGATAAAAATCACTAACTGACATCTCTTCAGGAAAGGTGGGGACGAAATATCCACCACAAATTAGAAATCACTTAAGACAAACTATAGGATAAAAAATATATAAGCAAAAATAAGAAGGTAAAGACGGTCGCCAGGTCGAAGGGAAGGTAGTGGCAAAAATTTTCAACTAAATACAGTCGACTCCCGATAACTCGAACCTTCTAGGGAAATAGAAAAAAGGTTCGAGTTATCGGGAGTTCGAAGAAAATAGCCGAAAGTAAGGTAAAAAACAGTTTTTACTGCACAGTAAGCATTTTAATCACATTGAATTGTAGAAATGTCAAGAGAAAATTAAAAGCTACTTCTAGAAATAAATCAGAACGTAACGTAACAAAAGACACCCTAAATAGAGCATGCGTTTTACTGTTTTGAGAAGAAAAGCTACTTCACGTTAGCCTGTGACAATCACTACTACTGAACTATACTCCTACAACACGTCAATAGGAAATCCAAAATTCAATGTTTCGGACGGCAGTATACGGCTTTTTTCCCGACTTTTTAAGGGCTCAAAACATGGTTTGAGTTATCGAGGGTAAAATTATATAGAAAATGACCTGAGGGAAAACGAAAATTGGTTCGAGTTAGCGGAAGTTCGAGTTATCGAGGGTTCGAGTTACCGAGGGTAAAATTACAGTAAATGTATGACGGAAATCCAGGAAAAATCGACTTTGGTTCGAGTTAGCGAGGGGTCGAGTTATCGGGAGTCGACTGTAAGCGTCAAAAAACCTGAGAAAACAGACAAAACAGCCAACATTTCGCGACGCCACCACTGGTTTCCCCCCCCTCCCCCCCAAATGACGTCTGAGAAACGAGCGCAGAAATTTCATACTGATAAAACGATCGACTACCTAGATCTGGGTAGTGACGCGTCATTAGTATGGAATTTCTGCGCTCGCTTCTTAGACGTCATTTGGGGGGGAAACCAGTGGTGGCGTCGCGAAATGTCGGCTGTTTTCCAAGGCTACGAGTCAAACGTATGTCAGTACATGTACAAGCTGATGGCAATACAGTCTAACCTACATTAACGGCCACCTCTCTACAACGGCCACCTTATTTTGTTTCGGCAGACAGTCCATGAATTGACTCTTATTTAAAACTCTCTACAACGGCAACGGCCACTAAAGCGCGTCCGTGACTGCCCAAATAACCTCTCGACAACGGCCGGTTTTTTAAGCGATTGAAGTCAAGAATGGTCATGAAATTTGATACATATAGCGCGTTATGATTAATCACGGTAATCGCATTTTGATTTTGTTCATTTATACTGCTGCAGTAGGTATAAATTGTCTACGATACTTATAGCAAACGTTGCGAACCTTTTTCGTTTTGTCACTTTAACCGATTTTGATTCAAAACATAATTCAAGCCATTTTGTGTATTTTATCTCTACTTATTATTTCGGTTATGAGTGGATTATTACCATTGTGGGATATAGTCAGCATGAACTAAGCACAATAAACATGTTGTACTCCCTAAGAAAAAATTGTCATATCACACCTCTACCCCCTAACTGCCACCTCTCCACAACAACCACTTTCTTCTGTCCCCAAGTTGCCGTTGTGAGGACGTTCGACTGTAGTTGGAAGGGCTGCACAAAACAGGTAACAAGTCTTTTATAAAGACCTAAAAGCGTTAGATCTCCTGATGGTCAGGGAACCACCATCTGCACACTATTGATAAGCAACAGAAAATGCCGCGAAATAAAATGACGGTTCTATTTTCTCATCAGAATGTTTGTTTTACTATGGCAACACGGTAGTTTGGATTAAACGTCCTGGCGTGTCATACCATACATAAAGAAAAAACACACACAACATCTAAATAACTCTTTAATTATTTGCTTCAAAACGTTTTCAAACGAAAGAGATATTCTGTTAAACCTCTAAAAAGCATTCTAAGGATGAAAATAAACTTCAACGTTACAAAAACATACGTTAAAATATACCATTTTCGATATATCAAAATTCATATTTAACTCCGCGGCTAGGGGAATAAAACAGAAGAAATGTATTATTCACAGCTGAGCGTAAAGATGATTTCTTTAGTTTTATTCCCCCAAGCCTCGCAGCCAAGCTGAGCCGAATCGGTCTACTCCTTATACTGAGGACCTTGATTGTAAGAATGCCAGGCATGAGACCGGGGGCAAAAGGAATGTCGACTAAGCTAAGGTTAGATTATAATAACAGCGCTGTTTACACCCGCAGCATGCACTAACATTTTTTTTCTATTTTTTTCTTTCTTTTTTTTTTTTCACGCTTTCTTTTCGTAACTACATAAGTTGCGTCCATAACTGCGATGATCTACTTTCATGTAATTCTTAACCCAGCAGTTCACATATATGATTTTCATATATTCGTAACTTCATACGATGATCTTCTTCACACTTATTTCTTCATTCCACAGTTTCAATATATGAAATTCATATATTCATTTCTACACTAATGTGTAGAGAAATGCGAGTCCCCCCCAAAAAAACACGATCTTTGGATAATGAATTAAAAAATACTGAACCAGAAAGATATTTAACGCAGTCAAACAAGTCAATATAGAAAAAGCCAAAATAAAGCCAAGAGCCTTCTCACAGATCCACAACTTTGAAAAGGTAACAACCTGCCTTAAGTTTGCCTCTTATGACAAACAGTTTTAACTGAGGAAAATCCAGTCACATACTTAGGTTGTTTACCATTTATAAAAAAATTCTGGAAATTTTGGTTGGGAATTTTCGTTCGGTAAGACCGGTACGTGTCGTTTACCATTTGCAGGGGCGGATCCAGAATTTTTTTTACGAGGGGGTGCACTCGTCTCTTGCTCTACTTCAATACCAATAAAGCACATAGTCTTTTTTTTTTGCAGTATACCAGTTGAACTAGAAAATCGCAGGTCATCTCAGGAGGGGGGGGGGGGGGGAGTGTGGAAGAGCCGTGCTTGTGCGTTTCCATTTGGGGGGGCGGTATTTGTATTTTTTTTATGTGGGGGGGGATTTTTTTTTTTGTTTACTTTAAATACAAATAAAGCAATTTTTTTTTTTTTTTTGCAGTTTACCAGTTGAACTAGAAAATCGCAGGTCTTCTCAGGAGGGGGGGGGGGGGTGCGCACCCCCTGCACCCTCCCTCTGGATCTGCCCCTGATTTGCCTAGAATTGTCGGATTGTCGCGCCGCGCTAGACTGGATTCTAGTTACAACATGAAACTTGCACGAAACTCAAGAAACTTGTAGATGGTAAACGAATTTCCCTTCCGAATTCTCCCAACCGGGAAAATGGGACTAACTTTCCAGAATTTCTGTTTGTCCCGGGAATTTTCCAGTGGGACAAACCGCAAAAACGTTTACCATTTACATCCCAAAAGGAATTTCCGGGAATTTGTGGTAAATGGTAAACAACCATATTCTCAATTTTTAACATTCTTAAAATAACTAAATAAAAGCACGGAGGAGGAAAACGATGGTTGCTTCTGTCTGCCTGATTTCGAAAAAAAGGTACCCATCTTACAACTGCAACTGTTGGTTAGCATAGGTATCAAACTTGCTGTTTAGAGGAAAGGTCATGCAGAAAACATCTCAATTATGGCGCTCTCACTTTGATGTTGTCCTTCTTTATAAACAGATAGGACATGGTTTGGGAGGAGAAGAAAAATCACACGTACTTAAGTCCAGGATTGAACGCAGATACAAAATTTACAACTTAAACTTTTACATTTTTCGTGATGGTCAGCGCTTATTCCCTTTATGATGTAAGTAACGAAACATTTCCAAAGCGGCCTGATGATTTAATAAATTTTGCAAAAATTGTAAAATTTGAAAAATTAACGAATGTTGATTGAAGCCCTCTGCCAATTTTATACTATTTATACCAAAGATTGAGTGAATAACTTGAGGTTCCGTAGCCGCTCTCGTCACCAAAGTCGCTCTGTTGAAACGATGTGCGGAAGCTTGCCTCATCAGCCTCTGTGATACCAATACCATGGTCCGCCCTGCTGCAGCTATCGCCTCCTCCACCAATCATCATCACGGCTCCATCACCACCACTCCAGTCACACCAAAAGGACAGGTAATTATAGCCTCCAATGTTGTTGTTGCTGCAGTGCAGCTGACTGAAGCCTTGAGAGGATCTGTAGGAGCCACTATGGGAATTTAAAGAACAAGTTCGACGACATGCGTTGCTGTTCCAGGTGGTGCTATATCTGAAGTTACCGAAGCTGGTAATAAAGCTTCTAAAAGTTCTCCCACCGGTACAGGTACTAGTTACGAGTAGTTCTGTATTAGCACTGTCATCACTTCGAGAAACTTTGATATAATTGCCTTGAACGAGCCAAAATGCAGATGATATCATATCATAGTTGTTAGATGTACTGGTAACACTGCCATAAGAAGTTGTTCGGTCATACCACTAGCTACCGCTGTACTGCATCCAGTTACGACTGTCAGCATTAGAGAAGCGGGCAATGAGTGTCCAGCCACCCCTAGCCATGTCACAGTAGACCTTGAATTCATGGAAAAGAAAATAATGTGACAAAATCCCTACTTCCTCACCACACGATAAAAGAGTTCTGGTACTACAACTGCATCACATGGAACTCATGGAATAGAAACAAAAATGGTCTTTGTATTTTTTTCTTTTGATTCCATGTTGCATTTCGACAAGCAAGTACCAAAGCGGCCAAGAGCCTATTATGGCTCTTGAAGCGGCCCATAGCGTTTTTCATTTTTTTTTTTTTTTAAGTTAGCACGCTAGTTTCAGCGATCCGAAAAAATAAACTCATCAATGAAAGTTTTGGTCTACCAGCTAAACATTTTCATCGTGAAAAATGCTTACTTTAAAAGATGTTCCACCAACACTCCATTTGAGGTCGTCCGGCTAGATAGTTTTCTATCTACTATTTTTATTATGGTTATAATTTAATTGTGCTGGGGTTACTAATTTAGTACATTTACAGTTATAGTACAACTGCAAGATAAATTAGTTGTTTGCACGCAAAGGATTTGTTGCAGACGTAAAGAGCTTTTTCACTTTATGTCACGTTTCGTCAGCCATATTTCTGCGACGAAGATTAAATAATAGGCAGCCATATTGGTGTTTTCGTGGAAGATGAACTCTTTTCGTATGTACATATTCTTTTTCGTCCCAAAAGCGACCTTTTTGTTAATAAAACATTTCCAAGAAAGATTAAAATACTGTACATAACAAATATCCTACGAACAAGCTCTCGAAGTTCTCACGGCTTGATTAACGCCGCTCGCTTCCTTACAGGTAAGCCTGCTCGTAAGGCAATGGTTTTCCAAACTTGGACTTTTGGCATTGTATATTCTGCGAGTGGTGGCATGGAAGTTGGATCAGTATCTAAATGTGCTTGCTTGTATTTATCAGAATGCGACAAAATGTAAAACTACAAAAAAGCTGTATTTAAATTATATCGGAGTGGTTAAGTTCTTTTCCAAAGGCTGCACGTGTTATAAAACGCACTAAGTCTTAAGTATTAATTTTACTTTTTCTTTATAGCGATTTCTCTTTGCAGTTCTGTTTGATAGAGTTTAACAAAGACGTCTCAACAATTTCAAAGTGTAGACCATGGAAAATAAGTTTAATGTTTTTCCAAAGGATAGGAGACATATATAGGGATAAGGGAGAACGAATTCTGATTCGATCCGAATCGCATATTTTAAAAGTAGAACCCATATTTCAACTGGAACGAAGTTGGCTTCGTCTGCACGTTCGTCAAATTTTTGTGCCCACAAAATAATACCATATCTTATACAATGCCCAAAGCAAAATACCAAAATCAACTACGACAGGTTGATTGAGCTAATATGTTACCTCAAGAGATACCTTCAAATATCCAAAGAACTAAATTCGTCCAAGCATGGCTTAAAAAAGCGGTCTAACAATCCTATCGACCTTCCTCGTGATCGAGTTCGTTGGTATAGCTCTTCTTACGAGCTTTGTCCGGTAAAGTTTTATCTTTTGTCAGCAGGGAAGAACTGGGACTAAGCTGCGGCTATTAAGCAGATAATTTTTTGGTAAGCCAGAACATGAAACAACGTATTTGAAACCTATAGTGATAGAAAGCCAAAAAATCCCTTACCTGGAAAGTTGTCCCTGAGACACTCAAGTAGTACGTCCCACTAACAGTTCTTCCTGCGGCGTAATGACTCTTACACGAAACTTGTTAGAAAACAAAACAACAGGCAGAAATAGAGTTACGTGGAACTGAAACTTTGAGCCCTTTTGAACTGTTTTAAACAATATATATTAGTCTGGATTTGAGTAAAAAGGCATCTGCGCTAACATAGACAACTCAATACTAATGGTTTTTTTTTTTACCAACATTAAAACTCAAATGAGTTTTAATATTGGTAACCTTCCAAATGTATCATGACTACGAGTGAAACCACTGCTTTTTTCTCTGTTCCTCCTTTCTTCCTGCCGCTCTCTCAATTTTACCCTGTCCTTGCCTTAAGTGGCGTGGATTCGGGTTTATCGGACGCAAGAAACGTTGCGATTTCGCCTTCTTTCAGCCAAGTGGCTGCAATTAGTTACTAACTAAGCTTTCAAAAATCCAGCTACATGTTTCGAAAGACCTCTACCAGTCTTTTGACGTGTGTCATTTTGGACCAGCAATAAGCGTTTCAGGCCATTTGCCTCGGACCAGCCAGCGCTCGTTTTAATTTTGGAGAATCATTTAGCTGAATTTATGAAAAGGTGGCCACGCCAGAATAGATTTCAACCATGCATCAGCTTTTTCGTTCCCAAAAGCAGCCAATATTAATACCAAGAGTGCAAGCATTCCTTTTTTCTCTTTTCCTTCTTCTGTTCTCCTCCTTCATTGTATTTTTCCTGTTCTTTTCTTTCGTTGGTGTGATAATTGGACTTGGCAGGCCCAAAACGCCTGTAATTTGATCTTTGGTCAAACAGCTGCAAATCTTCGCCTGCCACGTTTAGGGAAATCTAGTTATATATATCAAGACCGGCCAATAATCATCCAGTTAAAAAAGGATCGCTACTATATCATTAAGACTCATCGTGGACAAAGAAGAAATCTGACAGCACGTTTGGTGTGACTATGGGTTCCAGCATATAATGGGGCAGAAACTTGCGAGTTTATAGGATTAAATACGCTGTCACTAACTGCACCCAGATTTAAAGATCAAGTGGGACTATCTACATAATATTTTGATAAAACAAATTTTGTAGTCTTTTGCCCTCCTCAGAGGAAACCTCAATTTATCAGTCTAAAAATTTCAGGCAGGCAGAGCTGTGGAGCAATAGTCATATGTCAAATACCTGGGTCTTATTATTGATTGTAATTTAAACAGCAAAACATACGCATGAGGTGGGTAGGAAAATTTCAAGAGGTATTGGCATCCTAGCTATCTAAAGTTAGACATTTTGCTACTAATGATATTCTCATCCAATTATATTACTCCTTAGCGTATCTTTTCCTTACTTATGGCTTAATTGTCTGGGGTAATACTTATGCTACGACCCTAAACCCTGTTGTAGTTTTACAGAAAAAGGCAGTGTGAATAATTAAATGTTGGTGCTCGCTAGCATGGTATGACCTACCCTTATTAATGTAAACTTTATAATTCTCTGGTAACATTTTGTTTTTGTTGTTGTTTGTCTTGCTTTTTATTTTATGTTGCTCAATTTTATCTTAATTAAATTTAATAAATTTATTTTTCTTTAATATTTTTTCTCCTAAATTTATGATAGTTTTCCTCTTTATCTTTTTCGTGTGTTGCAACCCTATAAAATGTTATTTGATCATTGTACCTACCCGGCTCGTTTAGTTGTTTGCTATTCTGAGCAGTTTTTTTGCCTGATCGATTTTAATTTATGCTGTTCTTTGTAATTGTTTTTTAAGTTGGCAAAATAAAAATGGTTAGTCGTTGTTGTCGTGATGACGGTCGATTGCTGTGTGCAAAGCCACTCCAAGGCAAATTAACAAAACAAATCAAGAGGTCAGCATTGTGTAGAGATCTAATGGTCTGAAAATCGCTATTGACGAAAACAAAAAGACCGTAACCTTCCTTGACATGACCATCGACCTCTCAAGTACAAACTGCAAGCCTTATTTTGTCCACCGGCAAAGCAACTATACCCCAGCTTTACTAAAGAACATTCCAAAAACATCAACAAACGGCCCTCTAGCATTTCATCCAGCAAAGAAGTCTTTGATGAAGCAATCACTTCCTACCCAAAAGCGTTAAAAAAAAGTGGCTACCTGTAGAACCTTCATGTAACATACAACCCAGAAAATAAAAAAAAGAAAAGCGACCGGATAATCAAACATAAGTTTGTAACAATCCCCTAAATTGTACGCTTCAATACCTTCACATCGTTGGCCGGCGTGAAAAGTAGGGCACACGCAGGTGAAACTGTAAACGCCATCCACACAAGTTCCTCCATTCTGACATGGATTGGACTGACACTCATCCGTTTCTGTACAGAAAGATCCCATGGTAAACGATATATTTAGACTGTCACAAATACTGTCACACTCATTAATTTCCTTTCAAAAACAAAGATGGTGAAACTGTTTATATTACATACTGTAAAGCCAGGGTTGAACTGCTGGCATTGGTTCTCAATTGTTTCTGTTCAGTGATGAAGTTTTTTATCATTACCGCGGTGTGGGTAAATGATTAAACTGTGTAGATGACCACCTACGTCTGTCTATACTACAGGTTTTCTAAGACATTCCTTGAACAGCAAATAGGGGCGCTCTTTGCTGTAAAATCCTCAGGGGCAACTAATCGGAAAACGGACTGAGAGGCATTCGAGGAAGAGTTAGAGACGTACAAACAGTTTTGCAGATTTAGCTGGTGTTTATTGGTAAAACGGAGGGATTGTCTTGGTCCTGGTTCGTTACAACATAATTAAGGTGAATTTAAGTTAAGGGCGGACTCTGAAATAAAGAAAACAAACAGAATCATCGTGGTTTTACTCCAAAATTAGCAGGGGCGGATCCAGGATTTTTTTTAGGAGGGGTTGCACTCGTCTCTTGCTCTACTTCAACACCAATAAACCACATAGTTTTTTTTCTTTTTTTGCAGAATATCAGTTGTAGTAGAAAACCGCAGGTCATCTCAGGGAGGGGGGTGCGCACCCCCTGCACCCTCCCCCTAGATCCGCCCCTGATTAGGGACACTATTGTTACCTTGACACTGCTTTCCAAAATACGGCGAAGGACACGTACATGTGTAATCATTGATTCCATCGGTACACGAGCCACCATTCAAACAGGGGCTACTAGAACATTCATCAAACTCTGCAGTGGAGTGAAGAAAATAAATTGTGAGAAACACCCTTCTCTTTAAAACATTTTTTAAAAAAAAATGGTAGGTGCGGATGTTGTGATACCTATATGAGCGAGCTACAGACACTGACTGTAGTTAAAGTGAAAACAAAAGCACGTAATCATTAAGCTTAATGTCAACTTCGAGTTGCCCCCTCAATGTTGAAGAAATTTAGCATTACATTTCCAAGCTCAAATTGCATGGCATTATATGACTGCACAACACTGTGAGGGTTTAACGACCTAGTTGTAATTCGTTGAATGCAGTCAACACCCTCTACATGGATGTCTCTATAACACGGAGACCTTCCACTACTTGATGTAATTTTGAAATAAATAAAAATGTAATATGGACACCTAGAGCTTATTCCTATCACCATCTTAATTTTATGTGCCAGTCTCAACAGTGTATGGCCTTCTTAAAGAGATTTTACTGTATTACCCCGCCTCAATAAGCGTTTAATAATGTCCGTAGACAGTGCCGAGGGGAATGTTGTTACAGTACTTTCCTTATTTTCTTTCTTGTTTCAATCTTACTTCCCTCCATCTTTACTTTTGCCTATACCTAATACTGAAGGTAACTTAAAATAAATAATTCACCTTCACAAGTCCTCCCCTTATGTGTTCGAGGGCAGATGCAGCTGAAGTTTCTGTTTCCGTTTACGCAGGTACCACCATTCAAACATGGGCTACTGGTGCATTCGTCATAATCTAGATATAAAGAAAAAAAAAAGAGATAGGGCTCGATAATAAAATAAAACCAGCCCGAAAATAGTCAGATTCTGATAAAAGAGGTGTAGTGGCCTAGACAAATAAGAAGGTCCTGGTTGTTCAAACGTTGAAAAGCGCTATGTATCAAATAAATCACAATCACTGGACAGTGATTTATCTAGTAGAAAGTGTTTATCCATCTTTTGAACAACTGGGGCCAGGTCGTAATACGAAAAGAGTAATGCACTAAATGACTAAACACGAATCGGTAGATGCCTTGTGCGCCATCTGTACGCGATGCCAGAATCTACACCAATTCAGGTCGTGTGTTTTAAAGAATCCACTTTTTGTTAAGGTTCCAAGGAACGAAGGACGGATACCATCCACCAGATTGAGATTTTTACGGATATTTTAAGATCATACGTGCAGGATTTCTGTTGCACAGTGAGAGTGCATCCTCAATTTCCCTTACATCCTCCATGTAAGGGAATCCTGACACAGGAATTCGGAAAATTTTTGCTTGTAGAATGTGGAATCCTGGACTTTGGAATCCAGAATACAGCTCTAGGAATCCGGAATCCCACTAACGATTAGAAAATGGAATCCATGGCATGGAATCTAGAATCCAAGACTCTTGGATTCCCTTACATGCGGCGATCAATTGTCGAATCAGTTTTCATCTTCTTTTGTCCATCAGTACATACCTTCTTGTTTAAATTTGTAAGGTCCCATCAGTGTAATTGGCTGATAATATCTTAATCTTTTTGGTGGCCAATTGCTAATAGCTTCTCCAAGAAGAACTTCACTTACCTTTTTTGCAAGTGTATTGATGGCAAGTTGAACAATCCACGTCATTCCACATGTATCCATGGCCTGGTCCAAGGGTGTGTACACAGTCTTCTTCTCTGAAATTGTTTGGTTGATTCTTCGCCCAGTAGCGGAATTTAAAAGGACAGCCATCCACCCAAGCGAATACTCCTTCAGTGGCAATATCATTCAAACCAATCCACGCCTTATCGCCATTGTGCCTGTGCTGAATATAGACGTTTTCTTCCTGGCTTTCAATGGCAGGTAGATTAGCTCCCATGGATCGGCAGATTAAACTTGCGTTGGTCCATGTCTCACATTTTTCACTAGTAAAGTAACAGGAACCATTGTAGAAGCTCCATCCGGGTGGACAGACATCTTTAGAAAACACAAAAATGAATGGCAACAAGTTTAGAAATAATCTTCACCAAATTTACTGACTGCTCTCACAAAATCAAGGAAGTTTTTTTTATTTAAACAAGTTTATCGACGACGTTTGCCCTACGAGTAAAAAAAAAACTCATCAAGAGGGTTCACTTCGAAATAACATTAGAAAAAAAATCATTAAATAGATATTAGCCAAAGCGGCAGCAAAACAAAGAGGACATTAAACGAATGCTAGGAGGTGGAAAATACATATTTAAGAACTCTTATAAAATCTCACCGATATAAAAGACTGGACATGAAAAAGTAAGTCATAATTTTGCTCCGGAGACAGGAACGGTTATCCAAACAGAAAACCTGATAAAATTTGTGCTTTGGACATAGAATACCACCTGTCAGCAAATATACGAGCAGCAGAGGAGAGCAGATTAGTTCTAGAGGCAGAATAAAGTGAACATTTAAGAAAAAAAATGCTTAACTGTCTCGTTGTGGAAACNCCCCCCCCCCCCCCCCCCCGCCAAAAAAAAAACAACAACAACAACGCAGTCAGGATGCACTTCATTGAAGATAGTATCATTACGCCGAGTGGCATCATAACAACTTCAAAGCTTTCTCACCTGGTAAGACTGCATATGATACTGACAGAGGATCATGTTGTTGCACAAACAGCTCTTTCACGCAGGCTCTAAAACCGGTCTTGTTTATGTACTGACGGAAACAAAGACGCAGTAATCAGAGAGAACTGGCTTCTAAAAGCTGTCGCGTCACTGTCGGCCGGAGTCAAAAACGCTCGTATTGAAATTTCCTAAGCCCCATAGTATAAATTGTCAGTAAAACGCCAATTCGCCATCGGGGTCGGGTTCCACTGTCTTTCCGTTTGCTGGTTTGTTTTAGTTTTTGTTTCGTTTTCTGTTTGCTGTTTTGTTTAGGAGAAAACAAAAGAAAACAGGTAAGAAAAACAATGGACCCCGTCTACGCTTCCGCGTTTAATTGACACCTGTTGCTATCATACTACAACGGCCCATAGCAGAGAGCAAGGGAGGCAACTTATTCATAAACTCACATGACTCACTTCCTACACCGCAACACACCTATGTAAAGACCTAGTTTAGAAAAAAAACAAAATGAAAATTTATGATGCTTATTGATTGAAAAATCGCTCTTTCATTTTAGAATAACTTCTAACCTCAGCCCAAGCTGATATGGAGTTGTACAATGGATTGAGGTTTCCTCCACTTGTTGTATGGTTTGCACATACCAGGACTTCAGGAGAATCATTGTAATGCTTTTTGAAGACAACATCCTTAAAAAGTGAGAAAGCATTAATCAAGGCTACTGTGAAATATAATATTAAAAGTAACATTTCAAAGCCAACAGGAAATTTAAGACATCCTAGCTGCAGGTGAATGACAATTTTGTTATTTCAGTACAAAGCGGGTCTTGGAGTTGAAAAGGGGAATCACCTTCGTGTATATATCCAAGATAACATAGGAAGACTGAAAACCGCAAGCAGAACGCATTCGAGCAATTATATAGTAGGTGCAAGTGAGTGAGCGAATAATTGAATTGAGGGGAATTCGGTTAGAGAACAGGTCATTCCAGCGGAGATAAGAGAGAACATACCTCACAAAAAGCATAGTTCATATCCTTAGATGGCTTGTTCACATTGGAAAAGTAAATAGCACCATGCTCTCTGAAAAGAGGTCGATGAAGTTCTTCAAAAGCTATCCAGTCCTGCCAAAGAAGAAATTAATTGTCTGGTTAATAGATTACCATTTTCATGTTGGGGGAATATAAAATACTTGATAAAAAAATCCATCAAAATTGTGTAAGACGGAAGTTGATACTACGTAAGTTTAAAAAAAAACCCTTTAATAGTTTTCTTTTCTTTCTTTTATTTTTTCGGCAATCGCATCACACCTGCGCCACACCAAACGAATTGTAATTTTTTAAGGCCAAAGCAAAAGAGGTAAAGTCGTACAGTAACTTTCAATATAAAACTATCAAGGCAAATCTGCAAGAAAAAAAAAGTTTTCAAACCCTGAAGACATTTTTATTAAGAACAACATTCTTTGTAATTTCACTAATGTCCTATTTTGCCTGAACTGGTGAATTTTAAGCAGAAAATTGTTGTGTGAGGGTTAATTGGACCACCATACCGTCAAATGAGCGTAAAGTGTACTATACTTCCGCGGTTAAAAGTTCACATAACAAATAAACGGAGCAGCTTACAATATGAATGCTCTCATGAGAGCCCTCAAAGTTTTGTAACTCTCTGACGCAGATCTTGAAGGAGGTTGTCGTGACATCTTCAACCCACGCAGAGGAGGCATCATGCTTTACACCGCGCCTTTCATGCTCCGCTGACACTAGGATTGTGGGCACTGAAGTAAACTTTCTCTGTGATGACGACAATCAGAAGCAAAAGGAACATTTTTAGAAAAAAGTTTCAAATATATTCTTAATAGAATTAAAACCGAAAAACGGAATTCTTGTTATATTCTTGAAGAAAAAAGAAACGATGATATCATGTACGAATTGCTTAAAAAATGCGATATTAAGACAGCTATATAAACCCAACAATTTAAAGTTTATGGTAGGAAAAAAGTAATTTAAGTACATACAATATATTAAAAGGTCTACTAAAGGACGCAAATAAAAAATAAATGAAAATCTCCTTTTCTTTATCATTTCCTTCCTTTATACCCTATAGGCATCACTTTCATGTGGAATTTTAGTATCTTTTCAGGTCCGTAAGAGTCCTATGTCTCATGTACTATTACTGATTTAGTTGAAAGACACTGCAAATGAACTTGCGAATACTACAAATTGAACTCACCGAGGGTAGAGACACTGTACGACAGCTCGTCCCAGTCCACCAGGTTGGCATGTCCATTTCACCCGACACTCCCCCGTCAGGGGCTCCTTGGTATGCCAGCCAGTCCACTGTGGCAAACGTTTCTCCATTTCTCTTCTCGTTTCTACCAGCCTGTGTGACGCAAACTGTAAAATTGTTCTCCATGATGTCTTCAACCCAAGCAACCACTGCCTCGTGGATATAGGCTGGGTCTGAGAAGTTCGCGTGATTGACAGAAACCTGTATGTGAACCGGTTTGTTAGGATAAAAGACGTAAGGTTCCAGTGGAACTTGTTCGCAAATTGCTTCAGCCCAGACTGGGTTGTGACTGAGGCGATGACGGCCTTTTTGGGAAGGGAATCCTGCAAACAAAAGCAACACACTTGTCACATTGTTTGGTTAAAAAATGGTCAGCATGTTTGAGAACAGAACAATAAAGGAGGTAAACCACAAACAAATACTAATTCAAACCGCATTTAATGGAAGAAAGTCAAAGGAATTAAGTCACTACCCTGCTGAAGTTTTTGCTTTGATTGTTTGTTTGTTTCTGCTTTTGTCAATAAGATTTATACTTGAATAGAATTCACCACCCCAAGATAAACTGCATGTAACTTAAAATGAAACGTCACTCACGAATGGAAGTCGTGAAGAGGTTCACTCAACTGTGAGATTATTTATACCGTATTGAGCTCTTTTATAATGAAGATCTCTCTTGTTTGAAAAACATAAGTTAAAAATTAATTTAAGAAACATGCCGGTAACTGAAATCCTCCATTTCAAATATAATGAAGCACAAGCAAAATTACCTGTACAATCTCCTGGATGATAGGCAGTGAAGTTTGCCCGGAGATGGCACATTTCTCTCTGGAACACACACTCGTTATCGTATGTAGTTCCATTGGAGGAACACACAGGCCCTTCGAATGATGGACAATTATCCACGCAAATGCACCGCGCGTCCCTGGGACCAAACGCCTTGCATACTGCAAAGTACTTGCAGGAAACATTGATGCACGGGTCAAGATCTGTTAACAAGTGATACGCACAACAATTCAAAATGCCAAATCTTGGCCAAATCAAATGTAAGTTTTCTTATTTATTTATTTAATCTTTTTATGTGCCACTTGATTTGTTAACAGTTTCAAAAGTGCAAATAAACAATTGCAATAATATACAAATATCTATAATTTCTAAATCTTGTTAGTGTGCTCTTCGAGTAAGAAAGAATTTATTTTCTTCTCTCACTTATCGCGTTAACATGTTAGAGCACTAAATGAAAGTATTGTTGGAGCCATCCTTTGCAGTAGGTTCAAAGGAGCTACGATATAAAAAAAACTACTTATGAACAGGCGACTGCTACGCTGCATCTTAGTTCTGACTAGAATATTTACCTCCAATGACTGTGTAATGAACAGTAACTGGATCATGTTGGCTTTCCATTCCTGCCAAGTCCTTAAGGCATACGCGAAAAGTTGAAATCGATATTTCCTGTAGTAGTAAATCGTAAAAGCTTATTCAGGTAAAACTATAATAAAAACAGTCAGGAATCAAGCTATCAGATGCCTGATTTAATCTAGAAATTTATTTATATTTAATTTACGACTAATTTTGCAAATGACTCTGAAAGATATTGCTTGCTTAGTGCATGCAAGGCGTATTCCAAGTCCTTCTCAGTAAATGCATTTCAGTGACATACCGGAGCTCGGATCACGTGACAGCAGCATAGGCCCCGCGTAATAATGAAGCCTCGGAACAAATCAAGGATATTGCTATCTTACCTCCATCCAGGCGTTCAGAACATTGTTCTCCGGCTTAACAGAATAAACGTTATTGCTGTCATAAAGATGACTGACTGTTATCATAACAACGGGAGGTGCGTAAAACGTCTCGGTATAGTTAAGAACCTGTAAAGAAGGGACAAAAAGCAAAGTTAACATACATTATAACAGGGAGGGGACTAGGTAGGAAGAGAGACAAAAAAAGAGAAGGCACGTTCTACATTTCCTACACATGTTAAAGGCACCACAGGACATGATGATTGAATTACTTGCAAAATTCTAAAGCCGAATAAGGTCTTTGATTTATCGCCAAGTTCATCATGGCAAAGCTCTACCCTTTGCGACGCAAATAAGTTGCTAGAAAAAGGCCAAATATCAACCTTTTCCACGCCCTACTACCAAATTTGTCATTACCTTGCAAAAAGCGAAGTTATCTCGTTCCAGTGGAGCCCCACCGTTTTCAAACTCAATTTTTCCATGAAATGTCATCTCACCAGTTCCCTGAGTAAAGGCCAACCAGTCCTAAAAACAAACAGACAGACAAACAAACAAAAAATTCTTAGAACTTGCTCTGCAGTTGTGATTAAAAGCTGCATCTGGCAGAGGCCCCCTTATTTATAAATAACTTGAACTCATTTAACAAAAGGCTTAGAAAGTCATAAGAAAAGCTTTTTAGGCGATTTTGTTTCCCGGAACACAAGGTATATCTATATTTGTATAAGAAATGCGTTTAATGCCTAAGCTAATATTCAATAAACCAAATCAATTGAGAACAAAACCGAATAAGGATTTCCAGCTTAAACTGAGAGCTCAAATGACATTTTGTGTCCTCGACTCTCTATGGCGTAACCCCGAAAGCGTAGTTTTCAGGTAGACTCAAAAAGGGCGTCTTACTACCTATAATATACCATTCAGGTATCCATGTTCTATTCGTTTCTCGTCTAGGCATCGAGAAAGTATTGCAACTCAAAAAATCATCTTGGTCGACTTTCATTCCTTCGTAGAACGCAGCCGAAAACGACAGACAACACAGACTCTGTGTTTTGATAATCCTTTTGAAAGTACATCCAGCGAAAAAAGTCGCACGCAAATTACTCAAATAAATATAGATATTGAAAGTAAGAGGGAATTAAAAGCCAAGAAACAGACCAACTTACCACTCGAATATTTTGGTGCTTTCCGTCAAATGTTTTTACTTCCCGCAGGCAGACTCTAAAGTGGTCTTCCTGTAACTCTTCTATCCACATGTTCATGGCGTCCTGTGGCCTGCTGATGCTAGCGTGACGTACAGTGGCTAGTACGTTTGGGACAGAAGGAAACCTCTGCAAAACGAAAAGGAGTTCACTGAATGTACTGTTTCGATAGAGTAGGATTTACATTTTTTTACATTATAATCTAAAAAGCAGCTGTCACTATCGAATAATCTCTATTAAACTACGGACTTAAGGATAGAGTAGAAATATGAAAAAAGGTCTCGATACGAAAGCCTAGGATAAAAAAAATCGACAGAAGTCATGTTAAAGCCTTGACCTCTGCTGCGGAGGTGGCATTTTTCATTTGGAAATGGACACACGTTAATAGAAGATCGGAAAGTCAACTGTTCTTTATCCAATAATGTAATAACTGCACCGTGGTTTGAAAGACAAACAAACTGGCTGAAAGAGTTTGTATGGCGGAAAAGGGCAAGGATTTGAGGGAAATCGCACGATTTGTTCAAAAAATGAATAAGAGAATTCAAGGGCTACGTAGTACACCACCACCGACAATACACCAACTGCCTCGGAGGACGCCTTCGGATCAGTATATGATTCTAAGGGGGGGGTCTGCCTACCCCTCCCCTAGCCCATCATTTTGTCCTAAGTAAGAAGTTAGTGTTAGCGATGGGTTAAAAGAGGGGTAGGTAGACAGTTTACCCCTTCCCACGAAAAAACTTTGGAATTAAAAGTCAAGAGTAACTATTAGTTACCATGTTTTTCTTTCTAACTAAATCCCTACAAACGCCATGATCCTTGGTGCCTAAAAAGAGACCTTATCCTAAATTGCATTCTAGCTGATCGTTTAGAATGTAACTGGGAGTTAAGCTAATAGTCCCTCGAGTAGCATTAACTACTGCGGTGACATTTCGTTATTGAATTTCAGTACATTACACAAGTTAGTATTTAACTTCCCCTAGCAACCACACCCAAAATTCTGTACTAATGCGGGTAGGGTGAAAGCTAATTCTCTGGAAAATTTCACTAGTTCTAAGACGCCCTGTTGGTTTCTACAAATAATTTGTGAACGCTTTAAAAAAGAAAACAACGCTGCATCGAAACCATACCTGAGCAAAGTCAACTCTGTCACATTTTGTTCCGCTAGTGAACGCGTTGAAGGAGGCGGCGCCGTCGAGGGCGCCAGAGGGCGTGCCACGAAACGCAATCCAGTTCACTACAGCAGATCCATTTGTACCAAGGCCTGACTCTAGCACGCAAATGCGGAAGCTGTTCTGTGTCACATCTGTAGTCCAAACGACTGCTGAATCGTGCACACTTAGCGATTCGTTTTCATGGCTGATGGATGCGAGAACACGGATGTTACTGGAGCTGGAAAATACCTGAGGATATTGCACGGTTTTGCAGTGGAGCAGGCTTGGAGCTACAACGGTAAAATTAACCGTTCCATGCTGCAGAAGACTTTGTCCTAAAATGAAAATTGTAGAGCATTGGGTTATGGAACAATCAGAAAGGTGGAATGGCGGTTCGTTTCGGTTCGGTCAAAAGCTATTTTCCGCAAACTGGCAGATCTGCGTGTTTTTAAATTACTACTTTACACAAGACGGAACTTTTGTTAAAGATAGTTAATCAGACGGTAAACGTTTAAGAAAATTAGGAAACCACTCATCAATGTAATAAGGGATATACGAGTACGCGTAAAGTAAACTGCTTGATGAGCCTTGATACTACAGTCAAAGAGAAAGAGATGGACATCAAACTCAAACGTTCACGATCAAACTGAGGGTGTTACTTGTGTCTAGTAAAAATAAGGGTAAAATATACTGCTACGGGTGGTGCGCATCATTCTTACCCAGTGCCAAGTTTTATCTCGATTTGAAAACTGTATTGAATGTACCGCTCCCCACCCTTGAATATCGCGAGTAACTCGCATCTGTTTCTTTACCATATGTGACCCTCCACAGGATTTTGATCCTAAAGGTGAAAGCACGCTCACGACACGCTTGCTCGACACGCTTAGCGTGTCACAGATTACGAATATGCGCATATTAAATTGCTAAAACAAAGAAGGACACAGTTGGTTTATTTAGGCAAACTTAGCACACTAAATCTTTTGTTTCTTGTAGTGTGCTAATTGTCACGGTAAGCGTGCGATTTGAGTATTGGACACGCTAGATTACAACAGCAAAGGATTGACAAAAATAAAACTGCTTGTGTGGGCAACGAAATGAATTGCAACTGATAAATGGTCGATAAAACTTAAACAAACCGTTTTGTTACTATAAAAAGAAAACCGGGATTATATCTGTAAAAAGACACTTACATTTGTTTTATGGAATCTGATCGTAACTGACTAAAAATCATCACTTAGTAAACAAGAGCGTGAACACTAATACCTCAGCATTTTGCTCCCATATACAGTCAGCCATTGCAATTGATCGCTGATTCCATGAGCCTGAATAACTTGGTTGACCGATAAAACTTTTAGCCCAGAATTGCAAGAAACGAATAAGCCCTTGACGAAGCCAACTTCCTTGCTTGGCTCGAAACGAAAACAAAAGCTTTTGTAAAAAGTAAACAAACAGTCACTTGTCTTGTTTTTCGCTTCTGTTTGTCTTCCCCGCAGTTAAGTTAAAGTATCTCGTAGAAAAATGATGAACTAGTCTTTGAGAAACCTTCGATCCTCATGCCATTTTTTCTGCGTGTTTCAGTCATAACGGCGCTGTTTAAAGCTATTTCGAGAAAGGTTGTGTGAAAAAATGTGCACGCGACAATCCCGAAAGGTAAAATGGGATATGATTAATACTGGAGCTCTCTCGCGCGCGAGACCATCCTGGGTAAGTAAATCTACTCATCCCAGAAAATCTGGTAATCACGTGACCGTACACCGACCGCCGACAACTGACCGTCCGTCCGCACCACATGTATACCAATGTAAAATAACTCAATCAACAGGTATGGCAACCCAATTGCAACTCGAGATTATTTTGGTGGGAAATCGCATAGCCACCCGCATCTTGTAAAGCAGAGACAAATAAAGCTCAAT